ACTATGCCAAGGATCAACGCTGCAGTGATTGATTCATGAGCCATCGATTTATTTGTCTTCTTAGACATAATAAATCAATCTCTGAGCATGCTCACGTAGACACATTGGTAGTCAAACCAAGACAAGAAGAGTGGCTGGGGGGGGGGGGGGGGCTGACCCCCCCCGATGCCGCGGTGAGTATGTCGACTTCAGATACGGTATTACCATAGCTGAAGTAGATCAGCAGTGGAGGTTAGTGTAGACAAAAATCTCACTCTAGGGGTGTGTCTAGACTACAGGGTTTTGTCGACAAGGACTTGTGTCGACAAAACTATACCTGCGTCAACACTACCGCAGCGTTCTGTCGACAGTAAGTCGACAGGACGCGGCAGTTTTGTTGACAGCGATAAACTTCATTCTACAAGGAATAACACCTTTTGTCGACAAAGTTCTGTCAACAAAAGGTGCTATTGCATCCACACTGCTTTTTCAAAAGAGTGTGTCTGGACTCTGTCGAAAAAGTGGCTTGCTTTGTCAACAGAACTGGCTGTAGTCTAGATGCTCTTTGTCGACAGGAGTTTTGTCGACAAAAGCCTGTAGTCTAGATGTGCCCTCGATTCCTGTCCCCACAAGGTACAGCAGTACCCCCATGGGGAGCACTAAGCAGGGGAAGGAGAAAGAGCAGAATCTTCTTATTTTGTAGGAAAGGCCTTGTAGTATTTTGATGTTCTGAGTCAGGAGAGGGGCTAAAGGAGCTGAGGTTTTGGGGACAGCATAGATAAAAATGAGCGGGGCTGGAAGAGGAATGAGAAGAGAATGGGGAGGCTACAGTATTAGGTCTTACCAGTGTACAGAATACGACTGATCATCCCAGGCATCACCATCAGAAACATGGGCAGCAGCTTCAGATACCCGCACAGGATACAGCCCGCCTTCACATGGGACATGTTCTTGGCTGAGAGACATCGCTGAACGATAACCTGCCAAAGAAACAGGAGATGTGAATGACTCCCACGTTGTCACCCACTCACAGTGCTGAGCAGACCAATGCAAAATGACTGTTTCAACGGTATTGCAGCGAGAATGTTTTGCTCTTCTTTGTAATTAGGAAAATGCAAAGGCATTTGAAGGCCTGAAGACACATTTAAATGGCTAAATATAAATACTCTATTGTCTAATGCATGTTTAATCTGTGAATTTCTCTGACACATGGATGTTACTAAACCAAATATTGAGAATCAAAAAGAACTAGGCAATTACATGAATAAGAAGGGGAACACTATTGCACTGCTAGGACATAGATCATAAAGGTTCTCAATCCTTTTGCTTCAGAGCATAGGCTGATCACCAGCTGAAGCTTGAAGGATTCGCTCCAACTTGCACATGGTTTATTATGCTGCACAGTTAGAATGGTGCATTCTCCTTCCTCTGAAAACATCCCTATTTGATTGTATTGTTTTTGGAGACTGAATTGACTACTGACCTAGGGAGAAGGAAGCAAAAACACATGGACAGTCCAGCACAATGGGATCCGTTGAGAGGACAGACACAAAATACAGAGCATCTGCCCAGCATTGTTTTTGCAAGAGATTAAAGCAGCAACAGTGCTCTAGTGGTGCTGGAACGCTGCACCATAGAACACTAGAACTGGAAGGGACCTCAAGAGGTCATCAAGTCCAGTCCCCTGCATGGCCAAGAACCATCTGGGTCATCCCTGACAAAAGTGTATCGAGCCTGGTCTTTAATATCTCCAGTGATGAAGCTTCCACAACCTCCCTAAAGGCAATCGATGCACAGCTGAGAATAGAACCCCAGCCTGTGAGCGTCTGGGCGAGAGGTTTAGCACCACACCATGCCAACTCAACCCTACAGCTCAAGGTTGAATCTCTCTCGTCCGGGACTCTCTAGTCCAGCAACCTCCATGGACAGGCTGCGGAGCTGGCAGCCAGAGTTGAGGCACTGGGGTTGGTGGCCAGGAAGGAAGCTGAATCTGGAGGCTTGCCTATCCCCTGCCCCGGGAGAGCCTGGAGGCCAGCAGCAGAGGGGACAGACTTGACCTGCCCTGGTCTGGCAAACGTCCTCAACTGGAACAGATCAGGTCCTGAGTGTGGCGAACCAGGGAAGTGCAACCTGCATTTTTTTCTGGCTCTTCTTGAGTGCAACATTTGCCCTCAGAGCACCCCACATAGATATGCCTGGTATGATTGAATGGGAAGCCAAGCCTTTACCTATTAACATGCCCATATTTTTTAAAAATTGGGCCCTTGCATTTCTGCAGTGTATCTAAGAGGGGAAAGGCAGCACCACACACCCAGCATATGTCCAGAATGGCAGGAAAATATAGTAATGGAACACGGACATCCTATTCACTTAACATAGGAGAGACTGAGAGAAAAAAAAGCTATAAAGAAAAAACAATAATTTCCTTCTAGGAGATAATATCCATTTTTATGGCATAGGGGTAGAGTGGGAGAGAGATCTTCCAATGAGATTACAGATGTTAGAATGCCCTGAATTTCCTTTCCCCTACCTGATCTGTGCACCAGTACCACAAAGCGAGGATGCTCAAGCCAAAGACAAGGCCGGGCCATGGCAGATCTCCAGTGATTGGGTCTCGGAAGATGTGGAAGGAATCTGCCCGGGGGGTGTAGCATTTTGGGTCAATGGTAACGTTTCCATAGGAGATGTTGCTTGGAATAGCGTTCATGTATTTCTCCATAAAGGCCTCGTATCCTCCTACTTTGGCGAATGCTGAAAAACAGAGCAGAAAAAACACTTGGGATTCCTAATGGCGCTGAGAGTCCAAGGAGAAAATTCCATGCGGTCAATGTGAAAGGTCTGCCCCAGCAGCAAGGGCCCAGACTGTCTGAATTGCTGGGCCTGAGGACCGTTGATCCTGCCCCCTCCCCTCGGCAGGCCTAGCTGTAGCTGATCATTCCAGCTTTTGTTCATCAGATTAACTTACCAAATCCTGTGAGAATAAAGGATCCCACCAGCATAATAATGGTCTGTAAGGTGTCTGTGTAAATCACAGCAGCAAGGCCACCTACATGCAAAGAAAAACAATTATGAGGGTCTTTCTGTTAATACCTTCATGGGAATCGGCCTCTCTTTGCCCTCTCGCTGTCTCTTTAATAATATGCACTTACACCTCTCCCCTTTCTTGCTTACTTCTTCCCACTATCCTCATCCCTCACTTCCATTTTCATCTTTCTGAAAATTGTTTCAACTTGATTTTAATGTATCAAATTGTTCCACAAACTCACCTGTAATCGTGTAAAGACCAGTAATACCCAGTAGTATGATTATGGCCAAATACAGATTCAGCCCCATAGCGATTTGGATAAATATAGCTCCAGAGAATATATCTGCCTAATAAAAGGAAACACGACAGGTTAGGGAATGCTTAAGATAAAAGCGTTTTTATAAATATCTATTGATATCATCCCCACCCCAAACCACTGCACACAAAAAAACAATAAAAGCACATGCAAAATAAAGACAGATCATGTTTCTTTAGTCACCCAGACCTGCTTTTATTTTAACTGCCAGTTGCTTTTTGAAGCTCACTTCTTAGTTTTGCCTGTCTTATTTAATTTGCAGAAATTTGTCACTGAACTCTCCTAGCCAAATCTGGCTAGCTGCCTTTCCAGCTCTGTGATCTTTTGTATGAGGAAACAATTCAGCAAAGTTCTTAAATTCCAGATCATGCTAACACCCAAGTCATTTCACAACCTTCACATTATATCCAGGAAGAGTTTTGTTAAGTGGCTCTTTTTTCTTTACTTACAAATGTGCTCTATGCTATTATTCACACCTCACCTTTCCAGTGCAACACAGATGACCCAGTTGAGGACAAACAGGAATAAAAGACGACACCTTATTTTACACAAGAAATATCCATCCATGTAATTAGCATTCAGCTTGCCAGCTGGGGAAACAATTACCTCTTTTGCTTTTGAAGTAACATGAATTTTGCAACTTTGTGAAGAAGGCCTGGGATTTTAGTTACCAGCTCAGCTGCACTGAAGCAAACCCCTAAAACGGACATGACCTGAAATCAGAATAACCAATTCTCATCCAAAACATGCCTCACCAATGGAAATCTTATCTCTCTTAGGGGTTTGCAACATGCTGCATCAGTGCTGGGGAGCAGAGGATTTTCCTAAGTGCCTACATGCCTTAGGAGCAGATGTGATGTGTCACTGAATTTGTGCTCCTAAGTCACTTAGGTGCTTTTGAAATCCTCCTCCTAAAATTGCAGTGTACAGAAGAAGAATGTTTAGTTCTCGACTCTACTAGGTTTTAGCACAAATATTTATTCAAGGAACACGGTCAGGTACTTTACCACAAGGAGAGGGGTAAAATAAAAGTCAGGCATCTGGCTAATGGTGCCAGGCTGTACATGACAACAACATTTAGTGCATTTTACCTTTAAAGCTTTTTACAACCAGTAAGTAAAATATTCTCATGATGCCCCAGTCAGCCAAGCAACTGAGTAATCCCCACTTTGCAGGCGGGGAGACTAAAGTGAAAATATAAAGGGGCAAATCCACTCCACAGCATTCAGCTTGAGTGGCTGGGCAGGTGCTGGTGGAAGAAAACCTCTCTCCCAGGCCACTGAGGAAACTCCTCTTTGAGACTGTCGCCACCTCAATCTCTCTTCACCCCTCCTGCCTTTAAGGCAAGAAGAAGACTTTTGCTGCTGAAAATCCCCCAGCCCCGCTGCCACCACCTGTGAGTAGGCAGAACACCCATGGGGAAGACCTGGTGGGTGCTAAGCATCTCCCAGCTGCTCTCATCATCTCTCCTGCCCTCCCTGCTCATGGGGGGCACTGTGGATCAATGCCTCCCTCTCCCTCCCCGTGCCTTTGATGCACCACTAGCAGCTATTTTGCAGTGTTCCGGAGGCTCTGGGCGAGGAAGAGGGAGGAGCGAGGATGTGATGCATTCAGAGGACGGGGTGGAATGGGGCGGGAGGAGGCAGGGAGAGGGTGGAGCAGGGGATAGGAGGAGGCAGGGCAGCAGTGAGGAAAGGGCTGGGAATGAGGCCAGGACTTGCGGCAGAGCTATGGGTCAAGCACCTCCTCTCTGGCACTTTTGAAAGTTGACACCTCTCCTGTGCACCGCAAGGGCTGTGAAACAAATGCAGAGTCCCACCAACAAATTCTGCCCCTGCCTTTGCCATCTGCAGTCATGGGGGCAGGAGCTGGGGTTAAAAGGCAGGAATTTGTTAGAGTACAATCCATCAGGCTGTCATACTGTGCCCCTCACTAGGGGAGAAGATTCCTTCCTGACCTTTACAGTTGCTCATCTTATGCCCCAAAGCTTGAATCCTAGGGCTGGAAGAGACCTCAGGAGGTCATCGAGTCCAAGGTTAATTTATTTTTAGCACCAGCTTAGTTTGAATGGTTACAAATATTAATGGTTATAAAATGATCCTACGAGGAAACATAGTTAATTATTTAACATCCTGAACAATACACAAACTCCCTTGGATTTGCTGAATTGCCTTCTGTGTTCACCCCTTCCACCTCCCAGCCACATTAGTTTACTACTGATTATTTCCTTGTTACTCCATTAACTCTCTTTTATTGATACCATTAAAACCTTATCCTATCGTATCCAAACAAAAAAGAAAATCACTCCAGAGCTACGCACAGATCATGCAGGAACCATTAGGTAAAGCTATAAATGACATGAACGTACTTTTACAACCACCATTGCAGCAAAAGAATTCCAAAGAATTTTACAATGCATTCAAAAACTCAGGTTTTAAATTCTTTCAGCTCATGAAAGAGTATCCAGTTACTTGTGTCTCTAGGGGTATGTCTAGACTACATGGCTCTGTCGACGGAGCCATGTAGATGAGTTTACTAGACATAGGAAAATGAAGCGGCAATTTAAATAATTCAAATAATTGCCGCTTCATTTACATCAAAATGGCCACCACACTGTGCCGATCAGCTGTTTGGTGGCACAGTGCGGTAGTCTGGGTGCTCCGCGGTCGACATCTGGGTGCTCTACGGTCGACAACAGAAGCCTTTTTCGACTGCTCCAGTAAACCTCATTCCATGAGGCATAACGGAGTGGTCAACAAAGGCTTCTGTTGTTGACTGTGGACCGTCCAGACTACCACACTGTGCTGCCAAACAGCTGATCGGCACAGCGCGACAGCCATTTTGATGTAAATGAAGCGGCAATTATTTAAATCGCTGCTTCATTTTCCTATGTCTAGTAAACTCATCTACATGGCTCCGTCGACAGAGCCATGTTGTCTAGACATACCCTAGATGCTTAGTTTTAATTTTAGTCAGTTAGGGTACGTCTACACAGCAGTGTTATTTTGGAATAACTCACGTTATTCCAAAATAACATAGTCCATGTCTACACTACAAGCAGTTATTTCAACATAATGTCAAAATAATGTTGAGCTGAAGGATTTCTTACTCCAATTCCTGTCACCCTCATTTTATGAGGTGTATGGGAAGTCAAAGGAAGACTGCTCTTCCTTGGACTTCTTGCTGTGTAGACAGCGCCAAAAGCCGAATTAAGCTATTTTGACTTAAGCTAAACAATTGACGTAGCTGAAGTTGCATAGCTTAATTCGGCTTTAGCCCTGCTGTGTAGATGTGTCCTAACTGGTCACCAATGCCATGCTACATTTCTAATCTTCTTAAAATTGCCCACCTTCTGTACCACTGGTACAACTCCACTGGTGACAGTAATGTTACAGGTGCTAGTAGTTAGCAACTCCACGCCTGAAAGCTACCATGGCAACCGCTCACACAATAGAGCAACCATGGATCAAATATGCCATGTGGCACCTTACGTAAAGGTGTTTAAAATTTTGTCTGAAGTGGCGTAAGTGAGGAAGCGGAAAGATCCTTTTGAGGCAAATATAAATTGCATCAGCACTGTGACTCAGATTATTAGGTGTGACTTGCTACCATGAGGAAAGCTGTTCTTTCAAATCCATCTGACAACAGCCTTAGGAGATGCAAGGCAAGAAGAGTATGAAAGCAGCATGCAAATCTCTCAAATCTTTTGGCTCACATTGTTGGGCAACGCTGTTGGCCCCTTGTACTGTGACTGAAAGCTTTCCACAGACCTAGGTGCAGCTTGCTTGCCACCCTGCCACCTCCCAAAGGTGCCTACATAGCACAACATCCATATCTACACAAACAGAAGCTCTTGTGTGTAAGAGGTGGTGCCCACTGGCCATCTGTACTTATTCTGTTACTGGTGACAGGCAGGGCTACTCAAATCCATCCCGGGGGGAGGGGGGCACAGTGATACTCACAGCACATGCCAAGAGCTGCAGCTTAAGTGTGGTTGTATATACTTGCAAACATCTATGCAAATAAATGCAAAGAGCTTCTTTCATACTGACGGGCATGAATACAAAGCACTTCCCACAATGCCCTGGTGCTCTCAGCACCTCCTCCCTGGGGCTAGAAATGCCGACACCCTGTACCCATCTGTTCCAGCGAGCCTGTCCGCTTGCGTCTTTCAATGCTCACCCCCCCAAGAGACGCCTCGCCATTGTGTAGCATGGTCCCTGTGGTGGCCATGTTCAAAGGATCCCACCCAGGGGCCGCGTGTTGAGCTCCACGTAAACCCAGACCTCCCCACGGGCCTCAAACAAACGGGCTGCAGGCTGCATGAAGCCCATGGGCCATGCGCTAGACTTATGGGCACACCATATTCTTTCAATGCTCACCCCCCCAAGAGACGCCTCGCCATTGTGTAGCATGGTCCCTGTGGTGGCCATGTTCAAAGGATCCCACCCAGGGGCCGCGTGTTGAGCTCCACGTAAACCCAGACCTCCCCACGGGCCTCAAACAAACGGGCTGCAGGCTGCATGAAGCCCATGGGCCATGCGCTAGACTTATGGGCACACCATATGCTTGGCACACTTTGAATTTGCAGCACTGACTCCTCCCCTTCCAGCAAGCAGAGACTGAAGACCCATCTAGTCCATGAAGCATCACAGCTTTCTGTTTGTTTTCTTTTGTGCTCTGTTGTATCGGCCACACCTTTAGTTCATCAGCAAGCAGAAGGTAGTGTCTTGGACACTTCTGTGCACTAATAGTGCTTCATAACTAATAAGAATGGGGACTGAGTCCTAACAAACAGAATACTGGGCATGCACCCAATGAAACACATCATGTAAATTAAGCCTTCAGATCATTCTTTAAGGCAAATCCTGTCCCCTTTTCTATTGCTACATTGGGCCTCAGTGCTGCTAAAGCATTAGGTGCATTCAGTGCAATGAAAGAGTGCGAGGCACTCAGATATTATTAGACAAAGAGGGAAATAGTGGTTCTGCTGTACAAGGAGGAGGGGCATAATTTGGGGAACTAATGCAAGAGACTGTACTCCTGAGTTTCAGAAACTGGTCGGCTACGTCTAGACTGGCATGATTTTCTGGAAATGCTTTTAACGGAAAAGTTTTCGGAAAAGATCGCCTAGATTGGCACAGACACTTTTCCACAAAAGCACTTTTTGAGGAAAAGCGTCCGTGGCCAATCTAGACACGCTTTTCCGCAAAAAAGCCCCGATGGCCGTTTTCGCGATCTGGGCTTTTTTGTGGAAAACAAACCTCTGCTGTCTACACTGGCCCTTTTGCACAAAAGTTTTTCGGAAAAAGACTTTTGCCTGAATGGGAGCAGCATAGTATTTCTGCAAAAACACTGACAATCTTACATGAGATCATCAGTGGTTTTGCGGAAATTCAAGTGGCCAGTGTAGACAGCTGGCAAGTTTTTCCGCAAAAGCAGATGATTTTGCGGAAAAACTTGCCAGTCTAGACACAGCCGTCCTGTAGTTTCTCCCTATGAGTATTTGTGATGCTGTTTGTGGACAAGGTGGAATGAGGGTGTGTGGTGGAAACTAGATTGGAACCAATGGATCTGTTGCTATTGTCCTGGCCTACGTTTCCCCCACAAAAAAATGGGGGTAGCAAGAATATTGGAGTCTGCTTCATTTTCAGGTCTGACATGATAACTGAGAGTGAGTGGATCCACAGCCACTCCCATTTGCTTAGGAGGGGCCCCTTTGCTGAAGCTGATGGAAATCTCCTAAACAGGAGGCTGATACATAAATTGGAACAGGAAGGAAACTTACCCATAAAAAGGGAATTTAAAAAAAAAATCTGGCTGGTAAATATCAAGTGATGGGTCCGTGTGTAGCAGAGAAATTTAGTTATAGGTTTTGGATTGGAATGAGAAGCTGTTTATCTGTTTGGATTCATTCCACATCTGCTAGCATTGCAGGAATAATAGCACCCCTTGTGAAACGGATGCAGCATTTCCAATTACAGCCGCATAGAAAAACCAGTAATGTTTATATCTCCTCACTGAAATAAACAGAAAGCAAAATCCAGCTTGCAGGTTCTCAACAGTCTCAGCCTGTTTAATGTGTAAACTTGATAAGAATCAGTTATCATAAGAGCATGAGAATGGGAGCAAAAGGCCAGCTCTTTTAGGTTAAATTGTACTATTATCACTTAGCTCCTAGGCAGAGGGCAAAGAGTAACCTTCCATGGCAACTGCAAGAAAACAACAGACCCGGGTCTGCCTGACCTGTGGACTTGGATGGAAACTTGATGGTTTTAAAAAGGAGAGGAAAATCATAGGTCCCTTTGATACTGAAGTGCTCTTATAAGCCATACTTTATAGCTCAAGGTGATTCACACACTGGTTCACCTCAGTTTTCCTTCCTCACTTTGCTTTTTTCCTACTCCTTTATTTTCTAACCTCATCCCTCTCTCGCTCTGTCTCTCTCTTTCTCTCTCTCTCTCTCTCTCTCTCTCTCAGGGTGTGTCTAGACTACAGGGTTTTGTTGACAAAAGGGGACTTGTGTCGACAAAACTATACCTGCGTCTACACTACCGCCGCATTCTGTTGACAGTAAATCGACAGAACGCGGGAGTTTTGTCAACGATGGTAAACCTCATTCTACAAGGAATAATGCCTTTTGTCGACAGAACTCTGTCGACAAAAGGCACTATTGCATCCACACTGCTTTTTCAAAAAGTGGCTTGCTTTGTCGACAGAACTGGCTGTAGTCTAGATGCTCTTTTTTGACAGAGGCTTTGTCGACAGTATCTGTCAACAAAGCCTCTGTCACCAAAAGCCTGTAGTCTAGACGTACCCGCATTGTCTTCCTCTCTCTTTTCTCTTTTCTCCCTTTTGCTTTATTAATACTAACAAGCTGTATGTTCAGAATCCCAATGGAAGGATGAATATGAAAATGAAGACAAAAACCCAAGGCCTCTTTTCTCCCATGAGAGCTAAAGGGAGTTATACTCAGACCCTGCAGCATCAGGAAAAGGTGCAGAAAGGGGCAACAAAAATGATTAGGGGTTTGGAATGGGTCCCGTATGAAGAGAAATTAAAAAGACTTGGACTTTTCAGCTTAGAAAAGAGGAGACTCAGGAAGGATATGATAGAGGTTTGTAAAATCATGAGTGGTGTGGAAAAAGTGAATAAGGAAAAGTTATTTACTTATTCCCACAATATAAAAACTAGGGGACACCAAATGAAATTAATAGGCAGCAGGTTTAAAACAAACATAAGGAAGTTTTTCTTCATTCAGAGCATAGTCAACCTGTGGAACTCCTTGCCAAAGGATGTGGTGAAAACTAGGACTTGAACAGGGTTCAAAAAAGAGCTAGATAGATTTTTGGAGGTTAGGTCCATCAATGGCTATTCACCAGGATGGATAGGAATGGTGTACCTAGCCTCTTTTTCTCTGGATGAGGGTGACAGGAGAGGGATCAAGTGAGGGTTACCTGTTGTGTTTCCTCCCTCTGGGCATCTAGTATTGGCCACTGTCAGAAGACAGGACACTGGGCTAGATGGACCTTTGGTCTGACCCAGTACAGCCGTTCTTATGTTCTTACGATCTTATGAGATTTCATACGAGTGTAAAATAGTAACATGGGTAGAAACTTCACTTAGAACAGAGGAATTGGAAAAGCTTAACTCACCGAGATCTTGGTGAAAATATAGAGGAGCAGAGAAAGGACTGAGAGATACATCTGAATCCGTCGGCCGCCAAACCGCTTCTTGAGATACTCTGGCATCGTCACCACCTGCAGAGGGAGCGGGAGAAGAATTCATACCACGAGCAACAGATACAACTGCCATAGGGGCAGAGGCTCTACCATCCAGAGACCACACTGATATGTGCACTAGAAATGAAGAAGGCCAACGAGCCAAGGCCTCCACGAAGTACGGAAAGGCAGAGTCAAATGCTGCTCATGTTGAGAATTCAAAGACAGAGAGACCTTGGCGTTTAAATACATACAGAAGCAATTTATGTAGAATGCCTGACCCCTGCCGGTCCCTCCTCCCATGGAGAATGGTTTTGTGATGACAGACCCGCGTGCACAGCAGGGTGAAACAGAAGTACTGAAACAATGTTCATACTCACCCCAGCCTTAATGTAGATGGGAACAAACAACCAGCCAAGAACAACCACAAATATCAGGGCCTGTAGCCAAGGAAAGAACAGCTGAATTAGCCTCTTGTTCCATCACCATCACTTTCCACAGCCACGTGTCAGGCTGAATACCAGCTACAAACATTATAGCAAGTAAAATGGTGGCCAGTGAAGGCATATCTGCCTCTTCCTTTCAACTTGTCCAGCAATTTACACTTGGAACACCAGGGGTGAAATCCCGGCTTTATTAAAGTCATTGAGGGCATGTCTGCACTAGGGAGTTATTTTGAAATAACAAGGTGAGCTTCCATGCTACAGCTATGTCTACCTCATCAGGTTATTTCGAAACAATAACTCGTGAAATAACTATTTCAAAATAAGCTTATTCCTCTTTGCAAGCAGGAGTTATTCTTTTGAAATAATGGGCTCGTTAGTGTGGACACTCGCCTTGTTATTTCGAAATAAGGGGAGTTATTTTGAAATAACTCCCCAGTGTAGACATGTCCTGGGTGTCTTGCCATTCAGTTGAATGGGGCTTGAACTTAACCCTGGGTGTCCAAGAGAGTCACCTGTGGAAGAGTCCACCTCTGCAGCAGACTTACTGGAACATCCAAAAGAAAATTGCTTTGACGTCCGTCTGTCCACAGGGAAATACATTTGTTATGTGTCTATGCTAACACTGGTCCTACAATTTCCTTCTGTTGCACAATCTTAGTGCAGCGCTAATAGCAAAAGAAGCCATGAAGTATATCCTGGCTGCAGGCATTTTAACCACTGCTTCATCTAACCTTGCCCAGAGCAGGTCAAGATAACACAGTGGTCAGCGTACCAGCAGCCCATAGAAGCCTTTGTATGACGTCAGATTGTTGCCACCAGAAATTTTTAAGGAAGTTTAGGACTGAGCTGACTGTCTTTGGTCCAATCTTTAAACCAGGGGTAGGCCAATAGCAGTCCATGGGCTGGATCCAACCCACCAGAGTTAGTCCCTAGTGGGCCTCCACCTCTATGTTTATCTGCACCTCCACAGGTATCAGGAAGCCACAGCCTTCATTGGCTGCAGATGGCCCTTCACGGCAATGGGATTGTGGGGAAGCGGTGTCCCAGTCCGCACTGCTTCCCACCGCTCCCATTGGCTGTGAACAGCAATCCCTGGCCAATGAGAGCTGCGGTCACCTGTTACTCGTGGAGATGCAGGTAAACATAGTGGCAGCAGCCCACCAGGGACTATCTCTGGGGGGGCTGCTGCTTTTTTACTGCCCACCCCTGCTCTAAGCAAACACCAGTGCGAGAAACATTCCAACCCCAGCTCCAAGTGTGTTCTGATGAAGTGCTAGCCCAAGGTATTGGAGAATGGAGCTTATTTCAATACTCTTGTTCCCCCCTCCCCACTCCCCAAGACTAGGCCACTGTTTTAGATAAAATGCATGTGTAATTGACTGTTTTCTGCAGTGGGATTCAGTTATAGGGCCATACACATGTTGGGCTGGAAGGAACCTCTAGCACAGCCCAGCCTCCTCCACTGAGATATTCCAGACAGGGGTTTATCAAGCCTTTTCTTAACTGATGAGGATTCCACAACCTCCCTTGGAGGACTAATAGTTAGAAAGATGTTCCTTATATATAATCTAAATCTCCCTTGCTGAAAATTAGGCACATTACTTCTAGTCATACCTACATGGTCCCCTTTATTTATGGCCCTGAATAATTGGAAACTGTTATCAGCCTCCTCCTCAGCCTGCTTTTCTTGAAATTAAAAGTGGTCCTTTTTTAAACTTTCTTCATGGAAGATCTGCTTTCAAATCTTTTGCCACTTTTGTTGCTCTCCTCTGGACTCTCTACAGTGTGTCTGTATCCTTCTTAAAATGTGGAGCCCTCGATGGACACGGCACTCCAGTTGAGGCCTGCTTATCATGTGGTTTTGTAAAAGATGTACTGTATTCTTACCCTGGAACTCTATGCAGTACTGTATAGTATGGTAGCACTGCTGTGCTATATACTGTACATTCTGTGCATCAGATTGTTTGATGTGGGTCATACATGATTTTTTAAAAAATGTTAGCAACTTGTTTTATGCAGAACTGTGCACATTCAAACAGAGGAATTTAGGCCACAATGCTGCACCTGGATCTAGCCAGGGCCTGACTAAGGGGTGGGCTAGCCAGGAAGCTGCCCAGGGTGCCAACCTGTGGGGGCCACCCGGCTCCCGGTGGGCTGCAGTGGCCACCCGGGGCAGGAGCTCTGTTAACTCCTGCAGCACCGGCCAGCAGCGCCCTTCCCCCTGCGGCCGCTGGGCCCTGCACGGCCAGGCACAGCCCGCCCTGGGAGGCCCTGGGCTGCACGCCATTGGCGGTGGCTGGGCTGACAGGGCAGTGCATGCGCCGTGCACCCGCCTAAGCACCCCGGGGGCGGGCCTGCGCATGCACCATGCGCCTGGAGGTGGGGCCGTGCACCCCGGGGGTGGCACTGTGCGGCTGGGGCCAGGAGTGCCAAAATGGCTCGGGCCGGTCCTGGATCTAGCTGCTAGATCTCTCATCCACACACAGAGATTCTGGATTGCCCTGCCTAAAGTTCTGCTCCTAGGTCAAGCACAGGATACACTGGAGATATCAGGCACCATTTTGCTCTCTCTTATGCTGATGTAAATCAGGAGTAACTCCATGTCCTGATGCGTGTATACAAGCTGTGATACTGAGTCTATGGAGATGGAGGAGAGGAGGCATATTACCTTCTCTTTCAGACACTTTTCCAAAGTTTATGACCCTTCTGCCACCCTGCAGGCAGCCCCTGTGGTAGTTGCAATCCCATGAGGAGTTTGGTTATGCCCCACGCAGGCTGAGAACTGAACAGCACTGATGGCGGGTCACAAGGGGGCCGGGACACTCCTTGAGAGTTGTCCCTTGGTGGGAGGGGAGTGTGGAGACCGAGAAGGAGAAAAGGGCTCTTGGGAGGAAGAAAGGAGTGAAGAATTCCTCACTGCTGGGAAGAAAGCAAAGACGATGACGACTTTCCTTCTCCTCACACGCACAACTCCTACACCCCAAGTTCTCAAGAAAATGATGCTCAGACAAGACCTAATAGAGCAATGGGCCTTTCTTTCCCCACTGACTTGCCTGCCGATGGGAGTGGTGACAGAGGCGAAGGGAATGGAAACCAACACAACGTGTTCTTTCGGTGGGTGGTGCTGCCAGACATTAGCCCTCGGGGAGGCAGGTTCTACTGGGCAAGAGCCCTGACAGCGCTGTCTCACCTGAGCTCTTTGGATACCCCCAATGTGACAATGTTTGCTGAAACGTGCGCCACTTACATTCCATTCGAATCCACCAGTGGCGATTCCTGCAGCCGCTCCCGTTCCTGCCAACCCCACGAAGTGCCCGCTGCCGATGTTACTGGCAAACAGAGACGCACCAATCTGGAAACAGAGAGAGAACAGACTTGGGTCACAGATCCTGGGCTCAGGCCCTGGATAAAACAACTGTTTTTGTGACAAATTGTCCTAAAAACCCATGCTGACGTGGTGTTTTGAGACTTCCTGAGATATGAGTGCCTGACTTCCTTGAAGATCCCCCAGTATTTTCTCCTCTTAATTCCCCACACTGCAGCCATCATCCCTACCAGGAAGGCGAATTTAGCAAGGATGTTGCATGTTAACTCAGCCAGCGGGAACACTGGTAATTGATAATACTCCCTCTTCCACCAGAGGCAACCACATAGTTCCCACCTATAGGATATGTCTTCCCTAGCCCCCTAGATCAATCTAGGGAGGCTAATGAGGACGACCGAAATTGCAAATGAAGCGCAGGATTTAAATGTCCCGCACTTGATTTGCATGTTTCCAGCCGGTCACCATTTTAGAAATTGACTAGCCCGAAGTAACTGCCCACATCTACACCCGGCAGTGAAACGGGATTCCAAAATAAAGTCCTAAATCGAATTAGCTGGTATTCCTCCTGCAATGAGGAATGAATTGCGCTTCACTTGCAATTTCGGTCGCCCTCATTAGCCTCCCTAGATCCGTACTCATAGAGAATAGCAACTATCACTATTCCAGAACAAGCAGCCAATGGTCTTTTGGCAACTAGAGCAAAAGGCTGATGGGATATATCTAATCCCCAAGGACAAGTGACTGATGCTTGCCCCTACCAGGAAATTCAGATATAGGTCTTTGGACTTCAAAAGAGACTAAGGCTGGCTTGTATCTCTAATGGGATACACCCTTTTTGCACTTGAATTGCTTCTATCAAAGGGACAATAGGTTAATTGAAATAGATTTTGGCAGCTGTCATCACAGGTACATGACTGCACCCAAGGGCATCTGTGGTACATGTGAGCATGTGAGTAACATCTGATCAAGGATTTGCAAGTGAGGAATGTTGATAGCTAAGACCTATAATATCCTGTATTGATCCCACATAGAGGGTGTGTCTAGACTCCATGGCTCCATCAACGGAGCCATGCAAAGTAGTTTACTCAGCATAGTCAAAGAAGCGGGGATTTAAATAATCCCCACTTTATTAAAATAAAAATGGCCACTGCGTTGTGCTGACAATCAGCCGATTCGGCACAGCGCGGCAGTCTAGACGCAGCAAAGTCAACAAGGGAAGCCTTTTTTGACCGCTATGGTATGCCTCGTGAAACAAGGTTTACCGGAGCAGTCGACAAAAGCTTCCCTTGTCGACCGAGCCGCGTCTAGACTGCCGCACTGTGCTGGATCAGCTGATTGTCAGCACAGCGGATTATTTAAATCCCCACTTCTTTGACTATGCCGAGTAAACTACTTTACATGGCTCCATCGACGGAGCCATGTAGTCTAGACGCACCCAGAGAGTAAGATCAGAATATAGCAACTGCTGATTGTACTGAGAGCTTTGGAGGCAGCATAACACAGCACACCATGAGTTACAAGGTGAGGGACTGAAGTATCAGGGGTTAGAGGCTTAAGTTGGAGGGAAAAGACTGGTTTGGATATTGCGAGCAGAGGGTACATCTGTGCTGCACTGATTAGAAATGAAAATTGTATGTCAGTGGAGTGTTTTCTACGCTCTTCGTTGTTCTGCAAGTGCCAGAGAGAGAAAGGGAAACTGTAAAAAGATGAGAGAAGGGAAAAAAAAGGAAAGTTTATAAGGGGGGAGACGGTCTGAGTACTGACCAATTTCTGTTACCCTTTGATAATTAAATTTATGTAGACCATTCATGTTAAAATATCACAAAGAGCTTAACAACACATACATGGAGTTCCTCTGATTAACACATTTTCCTTATCCACTAGTACAGTAAATTGGAATGAGTTAAAGATCTGTTGTCACAGGGAGAGATACTCATTGTCTGCCACTGAAAGAAAGGTAGTAGGGGCTAGCGAGGAGGTGGGGGGAAAGAGAAGGGTCTGAAAGCTAAGGAAGGCAAGTTCCTCCAAATCCCTGACCATTGCAGTGAGTTATCTGGCATCGCAAAAATTAATTCAATCTTCCACGAAACATAAGAGATTCAAGTCAGAGTCCTCATAGTTCTTGAAGCTCACGAAAGGGGGATTTGGTATAGAAATTAGCTACGGAAAACAAGGCTTATATTAGTGAGGTTATGTCAAAGCCAGGAATACAATCTACCGCGCCTGGATACCAGTCCTGTGCTTTAGTCACACTTTAGTTCTTCCTGACACCTTTTATACGCAAGATAAGCCAGGTATGCAACAAAACTCAACAGAGCACTCTGTAAATTCCTTGCCTCTCCCCACTTTCCCCTCATTTCTTCATATTGATCTCATGCTTTCTTCCGGTCTTTGTGTGAAGGAACAACTTTCTTTGAGCTGCAGGAAATGTCTGTGTTCATTCAATCCTTGTTTTCCTCACACATTTCCCATGAGTCCTGCCCTCAAGAAACTTACCCTCTGTGTGACTTCCTAAGAGTTTCCATAGTAATGATCTGTGATATAGCAAAATAATAGTTGCATCAGTAAATGAATCAGAGAGGAAGAACAGGCTAATTATAAAGATGAAAGCTCCTTCATGTAGTAAAGAGGAGGGATTCACTGTTCACATGTACATTCAGTCCAGGATTTCTCCTTTGCTTTTCCACTATTGCCTTGAAGTGGTAATTAAGCATTTATCTTCCCTAGAATCTGAGAAAACAACTAAAAATAATGGCTCAGCAATGATATTACATGCTATCTTCTGAGAAGCTCACATCCTCTAAGTTTGCAGAGGATGCCAACCTGGGAGGGGTTGCAAGTGCTTTGGCAGGTAAGGTCATAATTCAAAATGATCTAGACAAACTGGAGAAATGGTCTGAGGTAAATAGGATGAAGTTTAATATGGACAAATGCAAAGTACTTCACTTAGAAAGGAACAATCTGTTTCACACATGCAGAATGGGAAGCAACTATCTAGGAAGGAGTACTGCAGAAAGGGATCTAGGGGTCACAGCAGACCACAAGCTAAATATGAGTCAATAGTGTGATGCTGTTGCGAAAAAAGCAAACACGATTCTGGGAAGCATTAACGGGAGTGTTGTGAGCAAGACACGAGAAGTCATTCTTCCGCTCTACTCTGGGTTGACTAGGCCTCAGTTGGAGTATTGTGTCCAGTTCTGGGCACCACGTTTCAAGAAAGATGTGGAGAAATTGAAAAGGGTCCAGAGAAGAGCAACAAGAATGATGAAAGGTCTAGAGAACATGAGCTATGAGGGAATGCTGAAAGAACTGGGCTTGTTTAGTTTGAAAAAGAGAAGACTGAGGGGGGACATGATAGTGGTTTTCAAGTAATGTACAAGGAGAGGGGAGAAAAATTGTTCTTCTTGGCCTCTGAGGACAGGACAAGAAGCAATGGGCTTAAACTGCAGCAAGGGAGGTTTAGGTTGGACATTAGGAAAAACTTCCTATCTGTCAGGGTGGTTAAACACTGGAATAAATTGCCCAGGGAGGTTGTGGAATCTCCATCCCTGAAGATATTTAAGAGCAGGTTGGACAGGGATGGACTAGATGGTGCTTGGGGGACTGGACTAGGGAAAAGCTTATAGGTTAATGTTATAGATTACGTGCATTTCCTGCCTTCCCCCTCAACCAGTAAATTCTTTAGCAGGCTGGCCAGCATCCTGGCTCAGTTCTGGCTCATGCCAGGTACAGGACCTACACTTTAAATGCACAGCCACTCTGAGAGTATTAGGAATGGAGTGGGCTGGCAGTCTTGGCTCAGTTCCAGTTTGCACCAGGCCTGGGAACTCAGGCCTTCCTTCCCCTCTCCACCCGCCCCACAGACAGGGTCTGCTGCCACCCTGCACTGCTGCCTCTGAATCAGTGACAAGCAGCTGGTCCGCAAGAGAAGCTGGTTTTTAAACTGGCTCCCCTCGTGGACTAACTCCCACCTGGCCCCTCGTGCTGCTACCAGCTCCACCCCCAGGGACTATATAATAGTCGACTAACCAATAAGAATTCATGAGGTTACTTGACTGTTCAATTAACCGATATTTAACATCCCTCACCTGGACTCAATGACCTCTCAAGGTCCCTTTCAGTTCTAGTGTTCTATGATTCTATGATCTACTGTTCTCACTGAGGTCAATGGGAATTGTGGATGTCTGGTACCTCTCAGCATCTGGGCAGTCAGCTTGATCGTGCTTCCACTGATGTGAATAGCCGTGGCCTTTAATGGGAAAGGAGAGGGCTCCAAAGGAAGGAACAATGTTCTGAGCTTTGAAAAAGAGAAGTAGGCAACTTTTCTCCCTCAAACCAAGTTTTTACACTGACCACCAGCAACTGGAACTCGGCTGCGGAACTGGCTGGCCGGGGGCCAAATATGAACTTTTTTTAATCAAAACTCCACTGATACATTAGGGGGAAATTCTGCATCTTGACCTTTTATCTCATCGTCAGCTGTTGTCCACTCACTCCCCTGAAAATAAATTATTAAACCTCATTTTGAGTTATTACGGGGGCAGTCATCAGAAATGATTAACCATAATACCCTCTGATCTCATTAAATCTGTTCCTTCTACCCTTCCTCCTGCTTTAAAAGCTCAAAATAGCCTTTTTTTTAACAGTCACGCTGCACTTTCAACAGCTTCAGGTGACAAAAGCAGACAGTGAACAGCTCAAAGAAACAACATCTCCAGCTAGCACGGCTGGAGTACCGGTAAATGAGGGGCATGTTGGAGCACACAACCTCACAAGAACTTTCCCACCTTTCTGTATTTTCCTGTGTTAATTTTTTAAGAAAAATACAAAGCCAAACAAAAACTATTGCAATTAGCAAAAGATTTCAGTTAACACAAGTGTAGAATCATAGAATCATAGAACTGGAAGAGACCTCAGAAGGTCATTAAGTCCAGCCCCCTGCTCTAGGCAGGACCAATTCCAACTAAATCAACCCAGCCAGGGCTTTGTCAAGCCGAGACTTAAACACCTCTAGGGATGGAGACTCC